ATAAAAGCAACCCTTTATTCTGCACCTCGTGTTTGGATGTCTTTTGGCTTCGGCACCAAGCTCAGGCCCATTTTGTGGCGAAACAATAGTATGGGTGAGCCTGTTTCTTGGTCTTAGTTGTGTTAACTGAGTGTTCTCGGCTGCGCGGTTATTTTATGTTATCTCTGTTGTTTTAAACTTGATTCTTTTTCATTATATTTTTAATTGTGAGCCGCCCGGAGTCATGTATATGAGATGGGCGGCCATATAAATCTATTAGATAAATAAATTAGTTGGATCCTGGGGAAAAGGAGAGTGACCGAAGGTGGTTCCAGGCTTGAAGGACTGCTTACAAATATTTAACAGGGTGCCTAACTCAAAGTAAAGATTAAAAAAGTAAAATAAAGGCAAAGGGAAATGACTCCCTCCAATGGAGCTCAGGACCTCCCAGGCAAATCTATGTGGCTGTTTGGCAACAAGACAGAAATGGTTTCCTATTGCCTTCTTCCGGGGTGTGTTTTTTGATTTCCCGGTTTTAATTCCTGACCTTCAACCTTGGAATTCCCTAGAGGTCACATCCAAGGACTAACCAGGCCCAACCCTGCTTATCTATTGAGCCCAGACAAGGATGGTCAGAGGAGAATAATGATAGGTCAGATCCACCAGCAATTGAATTGCTTATCCTGCTAGCAGAAGTATTACTGCTCTGAAAACATCAGTATTGGTTTAGCTCAGTCCTTGAGCTCCTGCAACTGGGTGCACTCTGAGTGTTTCATTCAGTTGCTCCTGTTTCATTTTTTCTTTTTTAAATGAATCTTGCTGCAAGTAGCAGAACTGGATCTCCGCCTGGTATCCAAAGGTGAAAGGTTCACGTAACTCGTCAATGATTAACTTGCTTTTTTTACAACATACAGATGAAAGCAAAACCAAGAGAACTACATGAATATTTCCTGAAGGATCTCCTCCTCGTGGTGTTAGGGCTGGTGGTGACAGACTAAGTGGAACCAATTAAGTTTGGATACTGACAGCTGCTTTCCTAAGTGCACCACTTTGACAATAAGTTTGCTTCTGAAAAAAACCCTACATAATTAAGTGTGGCAAAAATAATAGCTGTATCAATATATCTCTAGGTTAGTGTTTCTCAACCTTAGCAACTTTAAGATAGGCGGATTTCAACTCCCAGAATTCCCAAGCCAGCCATGGCTGGCTGGGGAATTCTGGGAGTTGAAGTCCGCCTATCTTAAAGTTGCTATGGTTGAGAAACATTGCTCTAGGTGCTTGCAAAAGGGTGGCAGGAGTTTGGACTCCCTGGGATTAATAGTAGAAACAATGTAAGAGGGATTTGGGGGAGGCAGCCTTGTGAATGGCTTACAAATACCATACAATTTTTGAAACTTTCCCCTTTCAGCTACAGATCATGTAGGGTATGATCTTCAGAAAAGAAGCAACAGGCCCAGCAGTTTTAAATCTGGGAACCAGAGAGAGATATTACACATCATATTTAAGTCATGATTTGCTTTAACCATGGCTAGGTGCCTGTCTTCCTACCAATAAGCCATCAACAACCGTTTGCAGACTTCAAAGACTGCATTCATACAGTACACTAAGCTCAACCACATACCACATTATTGCTTAGCAGGATGCTGGACGTGCTCTGGGACCATGTTGTATTGAATTAACAATTGGTAGACTTACCACATCATAAGCAAACCACAGCGACTACATTCACAATACACTAAGCCCAAACCAAAGAAGATCTACTAGATTTAGTGTGAATGCTAAAGAGAATCAGAGGTCTGCCTGATGGAGGCAGGAAAGTCTTGTCTGACATTGGTACCTGTAGATGGAAGACGTCGGGCAGCGAAGGCGAGCAATGGCTTTTTGTTGGGGATGGTAGGTGGTAAAGACCAGGAATGGTACCCAGTGGGGTTTCTCTTGGCCAAGCAAGTATGGTGCGTTACAGGGCACTTGACAGGTTTCTATTCTCAGCTCTGGTGCCCGTTGTGGCAACATCAAGTTCTTCCGCCTAATCATCCCACAAGGCAATGGCATATCCTCCTCGTGGTCCATCATAGCCAGCTGGGCATAACAAAACCCCACTTGCTTCCGTTCCCCAGAATGGCCACAGCGATCACAAGACTGCCAAGGACTCCAGGAGGTGAACAGGGTGGCCTGTGCTCCATTTTCTAGCTCCACTGTAGCATTGCTCAAGGTGGTCTCCCCCAGGCCCGCATGGGAGACATGGAGGTGCCCAGCGTCTTGAAAATCAACATCATAATAGCCAATGGTGGCATCTCCTGCACGGCAGGTGTACAACCCAGAATCTTCTGCACTGGGACTTGGAATATACAGGTTGCTGGCGATCAGTCGGGATTTGAAACGCAGTCTCCGCAACTTGGCATGGCTGAGCAAGGGCCAAGAAGTTCCTCCTGAGTATAGGAAGGTGAGTGGTTGCTCATTAGTCCAAGACGGGTCAAGGTATTGCCAAGTGATGTACCCTCTGTAGGAAGAGTGTGGACAACGTAAGATCACAGGATTGTCGGAGATAAATGCTAACGCGCAAGGATGGCCAGGGAAACATGGTTGGCCCAGTGAGTAACCTTCATAATGGCTACCTTCAGTGATGGTTAAGAACAAACCCAGGAACAAAGCTCTCAAGGGTGCCCAACAGGACATGGCAAGCTGGGTACTGATCTATTAAGAAAACCAGGAAGGAAAAATCCAGCTGTGACATCATTGCTGATGTCATAATAGAAGAATGCTACTGTTAACACGGACCTTGTTCTGGAAGACTGGGTCCCACCTAGATACAGTATTGACTTAGCATCCCATATGAAATAAAAGATCCGCATAGTCAAAGCTATGGTTTTTCCAGTAGTAATGTATGGCTGTGAGAGCTGGACCATAAAAAAGGCCGAGCGCCGAAGAATTGATGCCTTTGAACTGTGGTGCTGGAGAAGACTCTTGAGAGTCCCCTGGACTGCTAGGAGGTCAAACCAGTCAATCTTAAAGGAAATCAACCCTGATTGCTCATTGGAAGGATCGATAATGAAGCTCAAGCTCAGATATTTTGGTCACCTAATGCGAAGAGAGATCTCTTTGGAGAAGACCCTGATGCTGGGAAAGATTGAAGGCAAAAGGAGAAGAGGACGGCAGAGGATGAGATGGTTAGATAGCATCACTGAAGCAATGAGCATGAAACTGAGCAAACTCAGGGAGGCAGTGAAGGACAGGAAGGCCTGGCGCAATATGGTTCATGGGGTCACGAAGAGTCGGACACGACTTAACGACTAAACAACAACAACAAAATGAAATAAAATCTATCTGCGATTTTATTCCCTTTTAAATATTTTGCTATATAAAATGTATATCCTGAAAGGCAGGATAACAAGATCACTTTATATTATTAATATTTTGTATGGCTTCTGTTCAAAGCCAGATTGTGCATCAAAGGAATGTTTAAAAATCACTTTAAAAAATCTCAGCCTGTTGGAGGAATGGTTGGTGAAGATGATGGAACTTGTAGAGATGGCTAAATTGACTTCCTTGATTAGAGAAAAGATAATATCTATATTTATGGCTGACTGGAAATCCCTTATAGACTTTTTGCATGAAAAAGAAAAAAATGCACTTGTGGTTTTGATGATTAGAAAAAAAAAAGATAATAGAAAAAAGTGAGCTTTTCTTCTTGTAACCAGAGTAGGAGATAATTTTCTAATCATATTTGTATTTGCTACAAAGAAAATCGGAAGCTCCTTTTTTCTATGTCTTTCTATCTTTTCTTCCTGCACCTTTGTCTTTTTCCTTGCTTTCTTTATTCTTTATTAGTTTTTATCTTTTCTTTAAAAAAATTAATAAAATTTATTTAAAGAATCTCCACACGTAGAAAACGGTCTTTTTTTTTTTTTATAAAAAACCCCCAACCCACAGATAATAGCAAACATAAAAGTGCAGTAATCAGAATGGATAGAGAGCAAGCACAAATGCTTTAACCCTTCAGCCTTTCCCCAGTTCAAATTACAGCCTCTGTTAAAAGTTATCAGCAGCATAGCTAGCCTCTTGGACCAACCGTCCCTTTTAATAAAAAAAAAAAATCAAAACTCGGAAACTTTCGCCTTTCCTGCTACAGTATTTGAACGTTGTGTTTTTAACCTCCCAGGCAGTACCTGGGCGAGTTCACTTTCCTTGAGAAGGGGAGGAGAGAGGGACTTCGCAAAGTTTCTCCTCACCCTCTCCCCCCCTTTCCCCAAATAGTTTGGTTCCTTCTCAACCCATTCAAGAACGCCTTGAGGCTTAACCATCGTCCCGAGAGGGGGAAGACCCAAAGCGGAGCTTCACGCTCCTCACATTTTCTTTTGAATGATTCAGCTCGCCCTGAAAGTGAACCCGAGTTCATGAGGGAGTCGGTTGCCGCAAAACAGCTTCCCCGTGAGTAAGCCTGGGCTTCGGCTCCCCGCTTCCCTGAAGGAGTTGGTAGTTTCCGTTCCTTGGGCGAGGCTCCCTCTCGCCAGGGCAGCACCTGAGGCGCGCACGGACTGGGACGCGGCGCTCGGGAGCGTCGGAGGCAGAGCGGGGCGGGCTGCGGAGCCCCGCCGAAGAGCCCAGGGAGCGAGGTGGGCTTGGAAACGAACGAGTCCGGGAGCGCTTATCCCGCCACCTTCCCCCGCGGAGCGGACCGACTCAGAGTCCGTACAAAGGTTGGGAAATGGAGACCCAGAGGACGCGTCGGCCGGCCGCGCTGCCCCTGCTGTGGTTCTTGGGCGCTGCCTGGATTTTAGGTAAGCGAGGGAGAGAAGTGTGGGTTCCCCCCACCCCGCCCCCAACGACGAGACCCTCCTGCCCTTTCGCCCCCCTGTGAGGGGAGACTCCTGTGCGGGGACCCCCTCTTTCGGGCGCAGGGGAGAGGAAGCTCGAGAGCTGATTGGGCGATCGCCAAGTGCCCTCCGCCAATCGCCTTCCCCACTGCTGCTCCCGCGTGGACTCCGCCGCGGGGGAATCCGAAAGGGTCTTGCTTCCTTTCTACCCCCAGCCCCCCGCCCCCGGTCCTGGCGCAGCGGGGTCTCTCTCCGGTCCCCGGTGCGCCTTCCTGCAGGCGCGGAGGAAAGAGCGCGTTTCTGGACAAAGCAGATCCGCACCTGTTGGCCGCCCGCAGGCCGCCCGCTGAACTGGGTTCCTGAATGAACCCACTTTCTGAGACTAAACGTTCCGTTGGGTTGTACACGGAAAGGGGCCGTTTTTCACGCCGTGCGCGAAACGACTTGGAATGAACCCGGTTAAAAGGATGGCACGTTGTGGGAACGCAACTTTTGGGATTGTTAACGGACTTGGCTAAGTGGGTTGGGTGAACCTAGGATGTGGTGACTTGTTCTCATGTGTGTCTAATGTGTGCGACGGTGCTGTCACACAAATGGGGCAATGCGCCTGGGGTGGCGACCCAAGTCTGTAACTGGTGCTTTGTGTGAAAGAGCATTTGCTGTTTCCACATTCACACCCTCCCTGTGTTTATTTGTTAGATTTATATCCCACCTTTCCACCAGAAGCATACATAGCGCTCCCTCCAGTTCCCCCCCAACAACAATCCTGCAAAGTAGGCTGGGCAGAGGGACAGTGACCAGCCCAAAGTCACTCAGTGAGTTTTGGTGGTTGAGAGTGGAGTTCAGTCTGGGTCTCCTCAGCCCCTTAATCACTATCATCAACCATACTGTCTGTTATTGGTTATAAAATGTTTTCTTCCCATCCCTTCCTGAGCCCATCTTTTCAGCCTGACACTAGCTAGTTGGCTTCCTCTTCACGGGGAGAATGTCCTTGGCTCTTCTCAGCTCAAGGTCTCTTTGCATATACTGTGGCCTGGCTCGTAGCCCCAAAAAGGAGGGAAAAGCCTTTTTTTCCCCTGCCTCCCGCTGCCCCCCACTTTTCCTGTTCATCATCTGCCTTTGTCTTTTGCTTGTTGGAAGGAATAAACAGTAGGCTCCCCGGGGGAAGGAAATGGGATGGTTGGAAGAAACAATGGCTTTCTCCTTGCTTGTGTTTGTACCAATGATGGAAAATGAAACGTTATCCAACTCAGCTAAGGACAGAAAGTATGGCGGTGAAGTTCTCCAGCTAGAGCCAAGATACAGCTTCTCCGCAACATCCCGGATTTTGGGAATTCACATAAGTCTGAGGCTACCATAAGAGTTTGCTGTAGTAGCTATACAGTAAGGGCCTTAAAAGCATTTGAAATGCAAGTCTTGAAGCCAAAATAATTCCTTTAGTGCACTTTATTTAGGTCGTTTTTCATATCCCAGTATCAGACAGGTTGCCTCTTGACCAACACATGGCAGGGTGTGTGGTGTTTTGCATATCATTACTTTCCTCCAGGGTAAACATACAGCCCATGGAAGGGAAGGGTTTGATTATTGTAGTTAGTCAGCTCCAAGCCCTTTTTCTCCTGTTCTGGTTTCGTGTAATCTGAAAAAGGGGGAGTATTTCTGGAGGAATTGTGGAACTATTGGTTTCTGTGGCAAGATCTCTTGTGTGTTTGTTTGAAACCTGTAGGTAACCCCTACTAGACCTTTTTTCCCGGAAGGCTGATGACTGATCCAGACTGGAGCGGTGGTTGTGACACACACTCACACATGCCGAAACTGCAGGTCCTTTGTGGGAGGAAACTGATCCTAGTACCAACCCCTTTTCAGTCTGGAATGAAACCACAAAAACAAATAAAATGAGTGGGAAAGAATATGAGCATGAGATATGCATAAAGACTTGCTTTGTATCAGAACGAAACTTAGAAAGTAGAAAAGTGAAAAGGGTTTTCTTTTTGGACAATTAAAAAAAGTCAACGTCAGAGTAAAACTTGCCATTATTTTGCCAAGGTGGAAAATGCTTGTGGGTAGCTGGTAAATAGAAACAGGACTCTTGGGGGGGGGGGCATTTGTTCTTTGGAACACTGTTCCCCAAAGTGTAATTCAGAGCATGATTGCCTATCTTTTTAGGCATCAAATAAAAACTGATTTACTCTTCCAAGTGTTTTCAGTGAATATTAATGGATTTGGAGAGTTTATTGCAGCTGGTCTTTTGTGATATTGTTTTGATTTTGGTTGGGATCACACAACGTACTAAACCAAATCTAGGCAAACTACCTTATCGTTTAGCTATTCAGCCATAATAGAGTTTGTTTGAGTTTGAAGTAGAATGTTATGTGAACTTTGTGATTGGTTAGTTATAGTTCATGTCTCTGTGTTTGTATATGTTTTATTGAAAACCCTGAATTTTGCACGACAAGTCTGAGTATTCACACAGTGGGTACACCATCTTCAGCTTAAGGATTGAAGTGGGCTCTGTGTGGGTGAGGGAGGAAGTTTCAGGAGTTTTAAGCAATGAGATATGTGCCTTCAAAAACACTGTTTATTTCCCTGTTTAAAAACTCCAAACTGAAAAATGAAATACAGGTAGTCCTCGCTTAACGACCACAATTGGGACTGGAATTTAGGTTGCTAAGCGATGTGGTCATTAAGTGAATATCACATGACTGCACCTGATTTTACGACCTTTTTTGCAGTGGTCATTAAGTGAATCACCGCAGTTGTTAAGCAAATCATGCAGTTGTTAAACAAATCACATGGTTCCTCATTGATTTCGCTTGCCAGAAGCCTGCTGGGAAGGTTGCAAATGGCAATCACATGACCCCTGGACATTGCAACCATTGTAAGTGTGAGCTGGTTGCCAGGTGCCCAGATTGTGATCACGTGACTGTGGGAGCACTGCAATGGTCATATCTTCGGGCACTGGTCATAAGTCACTTTTTTTAGCACCATTGTAATTTTGAACAGTTGCTAAATGAACAGTTGTTAAGCAAGGACTACCTGTAAAGGACCCAAAGTCTTGATCCTGTCTGCTCTTGGTAGGGCTCTGGAAGGCACAAAAGAGATGTTAGCCTCCTGCACTTTTTACATCCTGTGTTAGAGAACCAGGCTTACACACAGTTTAATACAGGACTGACAATTTTTTTTTATTAAGCTAGAATTTTTTGTTGCCTTTTTTGTAAAACTGGGCTAAAAAGCGACTGGCCTGCCATTTCATTGAATACTAGGGTCCTGACTGATTTGAATGGAAGAAATAAAGATCTTGGCAGGCTGGTAAACTCCTGTTCACCCGTTTGCCTTTTATGACAAAGAATTTCTAGGAATCAACCAGATAGGCATCTGGAAAAGCAGATTTTTGATACTGTGTAATAGATGCATCTTTGTGGTCTAGATCTTTTGAGAATTATTTTCAGGACTTGTAATGAATTGGACCTGAAACTGCTGGGGAGGATGGTAGACACAACTTGCTTCTGAACCTTGAAGCTGTTATAAAAAGCAAGGCAATCCTCTTCCTTTCCTCTTTGTTCTCCTTACTTTTCAGCTTTTCTCCAGTTTTGGGGGGCCATACATAGTTCCAGCCTTGTGTTTAGACGTGACAATATTTAACCTACCAGGCTGGAGAAGCTACTGCTGCTCCTAAGAGCTTGGGAGTTGATTAGAGGAAAAGAAAATACTTAGTTTTGGAATAAGGTCCTCCCAAGGCTTATGGAAATGGTGAAAGAATCCCATCCTTTCATTCCAAATTCTGCATCTCCATTTGGAGTAGCTTCTTCAAAATATGTTCTACGTGTGTTAAGTGATGCCTTCCACAATCCTCATGGCTGTAGGCCACATGAGCTGTGGATGATGCTGTTTCTAATGGTTTGTATGGATCATAAATCTTCATCTCTTCATTAGCCAGGCATGGGTTATGTATAAAATTCAGTGCAAAATAATTATTTTGCCTGTGGAGGAACATCTAAGTTTCCTTCTTTTTGGTAGACTCTTTTTAGGGCAATTCCCCATTATCAGTTGAAAAAGAGAAACTCTTTGCTTGATTAAGTACACAGTGGCATTTGTGATACCAAAAGCTTTCCAGTTCTCCTTAAGACTACAAAGGTGCTTTGGATTCATAGAAAGCCAGGGACTTTTAATATTTCCTGACTTGCCCATCTCCATTGCATTCTGTTAGCAGATCAAATCACCAGTGTATATTTTCTGAACGTGCAGAAACTCTGGTTGTCCACTGGGCTGTTTGAGGTTCAATTGCTGAATGGTTTCTCTTCTGAAAGGAAATCGAGAAGCCCAAGTGGCTTTAACTCAATGGCTGGAACTTTGTATGTTCCTGAAGCAGTGCTCTCAACAGGCACGAGGAGAGTTTGCTGAGAAGATAAGCCAGATCTGGCTGCCTCGACATCTAATAAATGGCAGGAAGGAATGCTGTAGAAGGGAAGTATGTGGTATTTAGGCACAATGTTTCTGTTCATCATTCCCTTGCTTCTGTCTCCTCCAATCTACAGATTCTGCCGCTGCGATGCAGGTCACTGTGCTGAATCGCTTCAACGTAGTCATCCTCTTTCAACCTGTGACTCTTCAGTGCAACTATCAGACCACAGCAACCCAGCCACCTATCGTCTTGTGGAAATACAAATCCTACTGTCGGAGCCGCCTGGCTGATGCTTTTAACCCCAGCAGCCAGGAGAGCCAGCTCAACAACCAGCTACAAGCAAACAATCCTGGATACAACCCTTACGTGGAATGTCAAGACAACTCCAGGACAGTGCGAGTTGTGGCCACCAAGCAAGGCAACACGGTAACCCTGGGGGAATTCTACCAGGGCCGGCGCATCACTATCACTAATGGTATGTACAGGATACCAAAATACTGGCTCACAGTCTATAAAAATAGTAATTGTTGGTGTTGGTGAGACAGAATAAACAAGAATTCCAGGTGGCAGATTTACGAAAGTTGTTTTTTAAAATGTGCCATTACTAATACAGGTGCAGGTAGATGAGTGAGCATTTTTGTGAGCTGTGCAGCTGTCTGTGTTTACCAATCCCAGCCGAAATGAAAGTTGTTTTGGCCTCCAGAAGGGTGTGAAGAAAAAAACGCATTGGGAACTTGATGCTGTAATTTGCCTTAAGTTACAAATCCCCAAACATCTTTTGAGATGTTAAAGCTTTGCAACCACAGGGCTTGTTTTTTATACCATGAACCCAGAATTCTGGCTTATTGTGATGTGTAAACCAGGTCAGTGTTGTTGGCTGAGGTATGTTGTGGTCCTTGTTTTTGTACTCTGATGGTTAGCTATGATTGGGTCTGTTTTCCTAATCTTGGTGTCCCTTCCTAAAATTGCAATGTGGATATGATGAAGGTATTTGCTTCATATCATATTTTAAGCATTGCTGTGAAATGTTGCAGGAATAACTATAGGATTTTGCTGAAAAAAGACATACATGTACTCCTGAGAGTTTGAGCTTTGAGATTCCTTTGAATTCAGAGGCTTTTCAAAATGAAACTGTGACTAAATTGGGATGGAGTGTAAAAGTATTTAAAAATCTAAATTGAAATAACTACTGCTGTGCTAAAAAAAAATCAGGTAGAACTCACTTTGTAGGTTAGATGTTCAGCTGATTGGTCCAGTTTTCCTTTCTGTTGGGGATATAAACCTTTGCTATTTTATCAGTTTTGGGGCTTTTCAGCTTTTTTAAAAAATGTCCAAGGTAGATTAAAGCATCCATCTGAACTTGGGAAACTAAGCAGATTTGAACCTGGTTAGTATTTGGGTGGTAGACCAGAAGAGACTCCCAGGGTTGTAGGCTAGAGTGGGAAGTGAAGCCTACGGCCTGATTTCTAGAAGAAGGCAATCATGAACCCTCTTCCATATTGCAGCCAGAAAATTACATGAACGTCTCCATGAAGGAGCCTTTAAAAAATAAAATACAATACATCCCTTCGTCACAGAATAGAAAGCTGGCAAAATTCCAGAATTATTCTTTGGTTCCTCTTTAAAGAGCAAAGAACAGATAGGTGTGGCCGAATTCCACCACTTCCCCATGCCCTAGTTTCCTTTGGAGAAGAATAAATTTACATGTATTGGAATGCAATGAACAATATTAGTTTGACTTTCCAACAGAACATTCTTGCCCTAACTCTAAAGCGCAACCATTATGAACTTTTTCAGAAAACATATTTCTAAATAGTGGAGAGAAGTATTTTGCTTTAAATCTACTCAGCCTCAAGCTACACAATCTCTTTCTAATGAGTTTAGCTGAGCAATACCTTGTATTCCATGAGAAAATAATTTCATAACCTCTAGATGTTTTGTGCCTGATCTCTGGTCAGCCTTAGTGTGAGCAATAAACAGAGATTGTTTTTCTTGTTTTTCAATCAGTTAATCTGTAGTCTTAAAATCTTGCAGTTCCAAATATATGGTGATTAACATATGTGGGATTGTGCTATAAATATTTCACTCTTAGTTTCCTGCAGTTGGAACTAAACTTAGCCACTTCATCATTATCTTTTTGCAATTTTGTCCCATGTGTTGTGTGTCAGAAAACCACTGCCTGACTTTATGAATATTACTTCATTTTTAATTTGGGTGTTGTTTTTCATAACCATAGTAAGAACTTGAAGGGAAGTTCAAAACAAGAATGAACAACACTGACAAATTTAGTAGGTCGAAAGTCCATGGCAAAACCCCACAGCCTGTGATAACATGTTCTAAACAAGCACTAATGGTCAGATTTAGAAGTGCTACATGTTTTTCTCTCCCTTACTGCACAACCCCGTCCCCAAAATCATAGTGTGATTAAAAAGGGGCTTTTCTTTCAAGACTTAGCAACGCTTGACTCGTGCTATGACTGTTCCATTTGGATATTTTCTATTTTTGTTGTATATTTGTTTTGTTTTTTATTCTCTCTATTTATATTCTTTATCCACCATTGTAAGAACAGATTCAGGTGTGCAAAACATGGTGAGCAGCTAAAGTGCCATATCTATTATAACTTAATATCATCCTTGCAGTGTAGCTTTCTTTCATCCTCACAGATTTTTTAACATGGTTCACTTCCAACAGGAAACATAGAAAATCAGGTTAAAGTCTAGGGCATGTGATATTCATGTTGTGAAAGCAACTATCTTATGGAGTATGTGCTTCTTTGCTGCTGACCTAGATGCTATCAAGCAGGCATGGTGAACCCAAGGTTTTCTCATTAGAAGTCATTCACCCAGCATTAATCTGGTTTTTGGCTTTGCTACCGAATTTTAATTGTTAGTGAGATTAAGGTCGTGCTCAGAGTTTATTCTTCATAAGAAAAAGGGGACTAAGGTTTAAACATGGCAAACGTAGTAGAGCAAGAATACACGGTGAACATTTTCCTAGGTTGTTAAAATAATGACCTACGTTTCTACACATCCTCCATAATTGTATGAGGAGCAGGTAGAGATGGTAGAATTAGATGGAGTGAAATTGACTGTAACTTTTAGGCTGGAGTGGTGGGAATAATGTTTTGAATGTAGGGTATTGCATTACATTACTAGAAAAATAGCATGCATCTTTTCTGCTTGATGCTAGGTGGTGGCTTCTCCTCTTCCTCCTTCTGCCAACATGATGCTGTGCTAGGAATGGGGAGACCCAGATTTTAGTTCTCTCCTAAGCATGGAAGCCAGCTGGATGACTTTGAGCTGGTCACTCTCTCCCAGACCCAACTGGGAGGTCGAAAAACATCTCCCTATGAACCTGCATTGGACCAGGGTGATAGATCATGGTCCATAATCTTAAGTGAAGAGGCCTTTATCCTTCAATAGATTGATTCAAGCTGATAATAATAATAGTAAGAACAACATGGGCTAGGTTTATTCTTCCATGATGACTTATTAAAGCAATATTTCCTCATCTGAAGTGTTATAACCTGTTGACTCAACCTTACTGTCAGTGTTGCTGGGTTTATTTATTTATTTATTTATAATTAGACTATCACCCCATGAGAGAGTTTAATTATATAGCAGGGTACTGTCCTGAGCCAAAACTGCTGCCTAGAGAAAATAAAGTGGCATTTGGAAAACTGCAGCAAAACCAGTAGATTGAAAGGAATAAATGATGATTCTGATTTAATCATATAAAGGCTCCTTTCAGACATATAATTTAAGCTGGAAGGCTGAACCTAATTTGCAGGCCTTATTGCCCTGTTGCTAACAAAATTTGCGGGTATAAGCAAGCAGCCCTGCAGATGTGAAACTTGAAAGATCATGAATTGGATGGTTCCAGTCGCTCAATTACAGGTTCACATATGATCCTTCTAGCAGCTTTGCTGTTGAGATTTTTGTGTCTGTTTCTGAGACTGTGGCACTCTGACATGTTTTGTGCACCACATTCCTCAGTCTCTTTGCCAAAACATTTCACAAGGAGTTCCATAAATTCACTACAGTTGCAAATTCTCCTCACTCTGCATCAGCCTTCCTGATGCATTTGATTGCAATTCTGAACAACCCCTGCCATGTTGCCTGTGTTTACACCCACACACATAGATTTACTTGGGGCCGCTCTCTTGAAATGTTTGCATAAAATAAGGTTAAGTCAGCTCAGCTGAGCACCTTGTAAGCAAGGATAGTTCCCTTGTTCAGACAAACTCTTATTTTTGACTCCTGCGAGAGAAGAGAATCATATTTCATACGAACAGCTACCTAATAAGCAGTGCTGGTCACTGCTGCATCTCTAGTGTGTTGCGCTGATTACACTCCTCTCCCCCTGCCCCCTGCCCCCTTGAGTCATTAGTGACTTTTCTAAGTCTAAAGAGATCTGCTTTCTGGAGAGCCACTGACTTGGGCAAGTATAACATTGTCATCCTCTTCCTGTATATCTGGCTTCACAGTGTACAAATCACAACTCTGTCACTTCATACTTCTTTCTCACATATACCCACTCCCATGGGTGCCTTTAAGTACTTTCACTTCCCTTGGTGTCACTGGGAATTTAAATATCTTGTTTGGGGTGAGAAGCTGAGCATGGTTAGACCTGATTAGTATGTTGGCCAGGAACTTGCAAAGTGTAGGTAGACTAGGAAGGTGAAAAACTTTCTGGAAGAAGGCAAATTGTTCTGTTCTGTGGCCAAGGAGATTAAATATTTATTTATTTATTAACTAGATTTAAACGGCCACCCAACTCAAACAGTGTGACCCTGGGTGGCATAAATGTGTTCAGGAATTCACTAGGAAATGAGATTCACTTGAAGGACAATTTACCTTACCTTCACATAGCCTCATGAAGAAAGAACTAGCAGCTCCAAAGTGATACCTTTTTAAGAAGTTAGTAGTACCACACCAGTGGAGAACATAGAGTTTGGAGCCCGGAGAAATCTTTTGGTCAGTTCCATGCTTTAACCCCTGGTTGAAGGTTGCCTTGGTTGGAATTTGAGTTTTTCTGTTCCTCTCAAACAATGATTCTTCTGCCAGTTGAGGGCCTCCCAGAACTGCTATCCATTTAAGTTCCCCTTGCAGCTAAAATCTACAGTAAATTTTGAACAAGAATTTGGGTGGAAGTAAGAATGCAGCTCTATCCTTTGAGTTTTCGCTGCTAGTCAGATAGACAGTCCAGCTCTTCGGTATTATTTTAACTCTCTTCTGCCCATAGCCAGGGCTTCTAAAACCAGCATTATAAAATCCAAAACACCATGACAATAATTTGCTTGTTTGGATTACATTTTTTCGTATTATAATCTGATATATATTTTGAGTTTTGCTCTATTACCAAATTGGTAAGATCCATTCTTTTAAAAAATGGCATTAATATGATTAGCATTAACGGAAATCTCAGCTCCTTGTGACTTTACAAATATGTCCATGTTGTTTTCTTGGGAACAATAGAGAAGTGTTTTTGCCACTGTCACCTTCTGAGATAGGCATAATGGTGCTAAAAAGATGGACTTTATGAGATGCTGCATTGTGAGAGATATAGGAGGTATTAGGGGAATTGAGCTGGAAACCGTAACGGGAGAAGAATTACGATTGTAGCATCTAGATCGCCTCTGGGTGGTTACATCTTGAAGCAAAATTATTTATACATTTTTAAAGTGGTGTTTATATTCATATGGGCTTGAAACGTTAGGAGAAATGAAAACGGATTGTGGAGGCTGCATTAAATTGGTAATCTGATTTGAGGGACACATTCTGATTTTTGTGTTGCAGTATGGTATTATATGCGTCTTAGTTTTAATCCTCTTGGCTGCAGTTCTTAAATTCTTCCAGAATGCAGAACACAGTCTTTTTGCTCTAATACCCAAGTTAAAAAAGGACACTGATCTATAAGTTAAATCTATCTATGTGGTTGCTAAGGGTTGACCGTGACTTTTTGGCATCATCTCTAAGTTCAAAGTGCAGTCAGGAAAGTGGAAAGTTCTCCCCTTTTCTTTGCGTAAACTGGCTTGTTCCCGCACAGGAGAAGACAAAGTTCATGGTTTCTGAAAATTTTAGCTGTACTGTAGTTTTTCCTAGAGACCCTGAATAAAGGGAGAAACCACTTTCATTGGGCTGAAATCAAAGAGAAATGAAACCAGTACGGCTTTTCTCCCTACGTCTTGTGCAGTGTAAGAAATCTGTCCAATGTTTCCAGTATTTTGTCCTCCAGTCAGTAAAGCACACCTCTTTCTAGTTGGATGTTATGTTCAGCAACAAAGTGCAAAGTGTTTTTCTGCCTTGTAGCCAGTTGCAGTTGGCTGTGGACACAGATTTGAGCAATATAGGAATCTCATAGATCAAGCTGCTCTTCATTTGATATTAGCAAGCAGAGGAATTAGATGGGATGGGTCACTCATAGAAAGGACCATATATGGTGAGGTGGGAGTAGAAAATGGCTTACTCAAGGTTTTAAGGCAAAACATCTTTGCCTACAGAAAATACACCGGTTGTACTGTGTATTTATTTCAATGGGATTTCTTCCCATTAATTGTTCATAGTATTGTTTTAGCACACTGCAGATCTCAGTTCTATAAGGCTTGGGAGGGGGGCTGTATGTCTGTCTGCCTGCCTGCCTGCCTGCCTGCCTGCCTATCTATCAAATTTGTCACCGCCCATCTCACTGAACGACTGTATTACAGAAAGAGAAAAGATATACAGAGAATGACTTTTCTGTGTAATAGAGAGGAATCGCTTTTTGTGAAATAGCACAGTACTCATACTTATGCAGTAAGTTTTCATTTTTTGAACTGACTCATGAGCCACAGCGTGGTTATACACAGATACAGTGATGTGGAAATGGGATGGAATGAACTAATGGCTGGAAAAATTCCAAATTGATGAAATTTGGCTGATTTTTTTTTTCTTTTCCTCCCTACTTCTGTGTCTTGCAACAGCAAGGATATCATTAAGTTATAGCACTTTTTTTTTTTTTTAATCTGCGCTCAGTCGTTACCAACTCTGCAGTGACTGCTTGGACGA